TTGGGGCTTAGCATTCTGCATTTCTGTCAAGCTCCCAGGCGATGCCTGTGGTGCCAAAACCTGGACCACTTCGCGTAGGACGAGTCTAGAGGGGAACGTTCCTGTGACTGAGATGCTAGGGTTCATGTTTAAACCAGAATTGACCCACTCTCCCTGCTGTCCACAGGAGGCAGGCCAACTGCCAGCAAACTACGGAAGGGCCAAATCAAATGCACTCATATGAAAGACAGGACTCCATTTTTGTTTTATAAAATAGAGTTTCTGATGGATGCTGTGATGTGTCTGTGGTTACCAGGTTCATGGCCCTGCTCAAAAGACCTGGAGAAGACTGGGTGGTTGTAAGGTTATCACTATACTTGGGCAGCCAGGTGAAAGGATGAGGCAGAATCTGATATTTGCTTGTTTGCAAAACAGGTGCCATGTGTCCCTTGTCCCATTTCCTTTCTGTTTCTCACCTGTGTTGCCACGCCCCGGCCTGATGGATCACAGCTGCTGGCGAGGTCTCCTAATCCTGTTTGTCGGTTCAGAGATGATTGAAATTAGAAGTGTCTTAACCTGACAGAATAAATAAAGCTGCCTCCAGAAGTCTGAAATGTAATGGACTAAAAAGTCCTGGGGGGTTTGTAGTGAAAATTCAGCAGTCTTCATAGCATCCCTGTGTGTTTTGTAGCACAGACATACTTAGCTTTGCATTCTGCTTTGAATTGTGCTCTAATTTAGGGACTTCTAAAAAGACAGTATCGATAATACTACATACAGATTCTTCTGATGAAGTTAAAACATTTGCCTGACCTTGAAACGTGGAATTGTGCATTTGGAAAAAGATGTTTGAAATACTAAACTTAAAAATTATGTAAAAAGCTACAGACTTTCAAGTGATGTTTAGTTCTATTTTTAATACACAATTTTGGGCTCGAAGTTGACCCTCTGTAGTCACATAATGAGGTCGGCGGCCATGGAACTTTTATGCTCTGTGTTGTCCCCTCCAGAGGCGAGGTCCTTGTTGACTGTTTAGGGATTTTCCAGTTGAATGGGACGACTGACTCACAGGTCTTCCCTGCCCGTTTCACCTCTTGTTTCCTGTCCCACCTGCTCGGCCCTGATGTGGCACACGGCTGAGGGACTGATGAGGTTTGTAGGGTACCTGAGGGTAAACGGAAACAGCCTTTGGTGGCCAAGGGCAGCTGGCCAGGGGCTTTGAGGGATCAAGAGCTCTGACTCCTGTTTCCCGGGATCATCCTGTCCGATTGGGAAGTTCTTTTTTACAACTATTCTGATCTTCATGGAATTAGATTTCTTCATTGTCCTACATGTAGTCAGCAGTCCTTTTCAGTGGAATTAATTTTTTTTTTCTGTTTCTGAAAAAACTAGTAGAAAAATGCATATAGGATAATGCCCAGTTTTTCAAAGTTCAGAAACAAGTGAAACTCCTATGTTGTCTGGGGATACTTATACATGTGGTAAAACCAAGGAAATCAAGACCATTACAAACAAAATTCACCATTAGTAGTTTTGGGGGAGGGGCAGTGGGATTGGATTAGGGAGCCCACATAGAACTTAAACAGCACTGGTAACATTTGGGTCCTTAAATTGGGTATTGGGTAGAGTTTTATAAGTATATGCTTTATAAACCCCACATATATTTTTTTCTTTTGATAGCGTATTTCATGATGAAGATAACAGCTAAGGGATATTTAGAAAAGGTCTTGGCACAATCTTGCTCTTTCCCCTCATCGTATTATTTTAAAATTATAAAAATAATACAACTGTACCAAGGAAAAGTCAGAGAGCATATCTGTAACACCAGTCCCCTTATACAATTACTGGTTTTTTTTTGGGTTTTTTTGTTTTTTTTTGTTTTTAAAGATCTTATTTATTTGAGAGAGAGCACATGAGAGGGGGGAGGGCCAGAGGGAGAAGCAGACTCCCTGCTGAGCAGGGAGCCCGATGCGGGACTTGATCCCGGGACTCCAGGATCATGACCTGAGCCGAAGGCAGTCGCTTAACCGACTGAGCCACCCAGGCGCCCTACAATTACTGTTGTTTCATTTATTTTCTTCCAATCTGAATCTTTATGTTCTTTGTTTTGGTAATGGTGTCTGTCACTGTGTATCTTTATATTGCTTGGTGGAATGATGGTCTTTATAGCCCTTTGTTTTAATGGCTGAATAATATTCCCACAAGTGGTTAGTAGCATAATGTACTAACCATTCCTCTTTGGTGGAATATTCAAGTTTTTTCAATTTTTCTGCTATTACAGAACATCTTCAAGTTTCTTGCATTAATTCCACAAGTAATTTATGTGTAAGGCATTCTGCCATGTGCTAGAATTATAGTAATAAGCAAAAAGCCATAGTCTCTGTCCTTGTGGAATTTAGAATCTAATGGCTAACAGTTCTTGATTATATTTTTGCATTTTAAGCACATCAATCCTCAGACGTTCAAATTTTTTTTTTATTTTTGAGAGAATAGTAGATTCACATGCAGTTGTAAGAAACAATACGGAAAGTTCCCATGTATCCTTCACACAGTTTCCCCAGTGGTAACATCTCACATAATTCCACAGACAGGAAATGGGCATTGATACAATCCATCAGTTTTATTCAGATTTCAGCAGTTTTAAGAGTTTTATGTGTTGTGTGTTTGTGTATGCATATGGGTTTTCTGTGTGCTGTGCAGTTTTATTATGTGTGTAGTTTGGTGTGACCACCACCACAGTCGAGACGGAACAGTTTCGTCACGGGGACCCCTCGTGCTACTCTTGTAGTCATGGCCGCTTCTCCCCCACTTGACCCCTCCTTGACCCCTGACAACCACAAAGCTGTTCTCTATCTTTATAATTTTGTGGTGTAAGGGATAGTATATAAATGGTACAGTAGGACTGGATTTTTTTCACATAGCATAATTCTCTTGAGATCCATCCAAGTTGCTGTGGGTATGCGTAGTTTTTTCCTTTATATTGTTGAGTAATTCTTCATTGTATGGAGGTATCATGTTCCTACACCTGTTGAAGGACATTTGGACTGTTTCCAGTTTTGTGCTATTATGAATAAAGCTGCTATGAACATTTCCTCAACCTTTATTTTGATGATTATACATAAAAGGAAATTAGTAAGTCTTCAGGCCTCTGTACCTCAACCACCAGTGTGTATGCCCACATTTGGGGTGTCTTTGTAGAATCCAAAGTAAGCCACTGATGAATGCTATGGTGTTCTGGCTTTAATATTTAATACTTTGTGTCTGAAAATATGTTGTCAATATAGCTAAACTGTTTTTGTTTATGTAACAGTGAAGCACATCCTGCCACCGTCTTTATTGTCCTTTAGAATTTATGAGGGTAAAATCTTGATTTTCTGTTGAGCTGTTTGTCCTTTGAGAAATGAGGACCCATCTGAGTCTCATAATACAAAGAGGTTGCTCCGTAGACATTTGTTCAAAGAATGCCTTTGATCCGTAGAGTTGACTGAGGATATTTAGAAAGGATGAGATACACAGAGGATAGAGGAGGTACACTTGGACTTCAAACCGAATGCTTTCCACATATTAAATAATCTCCAGATTTTTAAAGTCTCTTTCAAAACCAATGAAAACCAAATAATAATGATAGCCAGTTGGGTCTGTTGTGTATTTAGGAAGAAAACTGGGTCTTGGGGCAAAGCAGACTAAGGAGGGAGGTAACTGCTCAGTATAGCAGCCTTGCACTTCAAAAGAAAAGGATTCTCCCTGCCTGCCATCTCCCATACACTGTGCTCGCACACTCGTGTGCACATGCACAAACCCCACCCACTTAAGCTGCTGTTTTGCTGTATGGAAGACTGGTTCTGTGCATGTTTTCTGAAATCTCATGAGCCTAAATCAGAAAGGACATGGGTTATGGAGCAGAATATGTTTTGAGGTGGCTTAGTGACCTCTTTGGTTACTTGTGTGTTTATGATTTAGGTTAGACACTTAGCTGTTTAGATTTTTTTTTTTAATTTCTTTTGAATGAATGGCCATGGTTGTCACTTTCCAAGGAAGGCATAAAGATCAGCAACCCCCAGGGGCTAAGCAAACACTATGCTGTGTGGTTGTGGCTGACCTTGGTCCCAGTGACGACTGACTCGGACCTGTCCAGAGGCTTGGTCAATGGTAGGAGAATGCACCAGGATGATGTGTCTTTCTGGGCCTCTGTCAATGAGCCAACAGCTGGGGCTCTGGAAGACCATTCCATTATCCCAGTTTGCTCTCTTTTGCTTTTTACCACCCCCACCCATGCCCCCATAGCTCTTAACATAAAGTCAAAAATCTGGGGATAAAGTCTATAGTCTGAGCCCTGTGTGGTCTGGTCCATGCCTACCTCTCTGAGACCCACCTGGTGCCATGCAGCCCCTTCCCCCATGCCACAGTCCACGTACACAGGCCACCTTCCAGGTCTTTCCACGGCTTCATGTTCCTGCCCACCTCCCTTCTGTGGTACATGCTGTTTGTTCTGCCTGAAACACCATCTGCCCTCCTTCTCTCCCCCTGTATTATGTCAAGCACTCCTGTGTACCCCTCAGATCTTGGCTTCAGTACAGCTTCCTCATGGAAGCCTTCCTGATGCATCCCATGTTCTTGAGCCACTTCCACCACATGCCTCATAGCAGCCAGCGCTATGCTGTTCCCCTCCCCATCTGTGATGATGCTTACTGACTTATAATTTGCTGGTACCAGTATATCCCCCCTCCTCCTGCCCTGCCCCTCATGAAGATGATGACAGTCTCTCTCTTCCCTGTTGACTCTTCAGCGCCTGGCACAGTGTCTGGCCATAGCAGCTGCTCAGTAAATATTTGTTGAATTCGTGAATTAACTCAGGAAAATGGCCACCCCCTAAAAATGCCCTTGGTAGGTTTAACACAGAATTTCTTATTTTAAAAATGGAATCTGTACCTATTTTTTAAAAATCTGGTTATGTGTTCCTATAAAATTATTGACCTGTCTTTGAAGTTTATGACTGTAATTCACTTTTTTTTTCCTTTCAGGTGGGGACCAGGGTTTACTGAACACATTTTTTAACAGCTGGGCAACAACAGATATCAGAAAACACCTGCCATTTATTTATAACTTAAGCAGCGTTTCTATATACTCCTACCTCCCAGCATTTAAAGCGTAAGTGCAAAGGTTTAACTGTTGTTGGAGGTGGCAGGGCAGGGGAGTGGGATTTAAAATTTGGGGGGTTCCTCATGGTCATTCTGAGGTCAATAACAGGTGGGAACGTGAGGGAAGTCTTTCTCTTATGAGAAACATGGCTATAGTGGGGAAAGGCCTTGATGTTATCAGTTACTTTGTTTGGAGTAACCCAGAGGGTACTTAACCACCTTACAGGAAAAGGTTCCCATTCGCTCCTGGGTGCCAGGCCCTCTGTTAAATTGTCCCTATGTCATGGTCATGAATCCATAGTGGGCACAAACCCAACTTCTGCTTCCTAGTGGCTGCTAAGCTTCAGCTCCCATCCCCCTAAAATGAGGATCTTAACAGCTGTCTCCGTGGTTCTTGTGGAGCTGAAGCAAGCTGCTGATAGCAGTGTGCTGACCCAGTCCAGAGCAGGGGCTGTGGAATCGCACTGCTCAGTCCACGTTATGGAGTAGCTTCTTCCTGGTTGGTTACTCATTCCTGAACTTCTCTGCCTCAATGTCCTCCAAAACTAACTGTGATCATTAAGGGAGGTAGTCCTAGGAAGTGGGTAGGAGAGGGTAGAAGAGGGCCTTAGCACTCAGTAAACATCAGATTATTAGTCCTTTTTGTTGGAGAGGTGGTCTAGCCATAAGCGTGATCTCTGAAGCCAGAAAGGCAGGGTGTGTCTTCTCATTCTGCCATTTACCTACGCTATGGCTTAGCCTCTGTGCCTCAGTTTATCCATATGCAAAATGACAAGGGGAATCAGACCTACCCTGCAGAGTTGTCATGAGGATGAAGTGAATTCACACAGGCATAAAGCGCTCAGCAGACAGCTTGTTTTTGGCAACATTGCTTGTTTGGCAGTCCCCCTGGGGTGGTTCTAACTCAGCAGTTAATACAACCTAGTTGCAGGGCTGGTCTCACTGACCAGGGCCCGGGCCCTGTTCTTTAGCCTCTGACTCATTTGTGTTGAATGAAGATGATGATTCAGGTTTCTTGAACGGAGGCCAAGCTGTCGGGTTGATCCTGAGACACAGCCATGAGCAGCCAAGCTCTTCATTGAGTTGGGCTCAGCTCTGCAGTCTCTGTCCCGCATGGGCATTCCTGGGCAGGCAGAACACAAAGGGCCTTTCACTCCTCATATTTTATTATCCAGAGTCCTCTCTTTATGTCTCTTACCACAGTAATGAGCACGTCTGGCTTTTTGTGGCAGAAATGTTTCCTTTTCTGTTCTTTTCTGGGCAAACTCTGTCAACATTCCCCCAGATAAGGATTATAAGTGTCTTGTGTTCTTTCCTCCCTAACTGTTCTCTTGGCATATGTCTCTGACGTATTACAGCCTTTTGATAGTCCTCCCTCTCTAGAATGAAGCAGGCAAACTCCAATATCCCAACTGTCCAAGTAACACAAATAGAGAAAGATTCACTATCAAGGGGTGGATTTGGAGAAACGTTTTTTTTTTTTAGCCTCTCTGTCCTTGGCCTTGTCAAGTACCAGCCTGTCTTGCTTGGAAATGTGGGCCTGATTGTTTTCATTCTTATTGCCTCATAACGAACCCTGCAACTTTGAACAGTGCTCCCGCAGACCATGATAGCTCGATTCCCCAGAACTGAATTTGTGATAATAGGGAAGATGGTTAATGTAATTGACTAGACTCTGTTGAGCAAGCAAAAAGATGAGGGCGAAGGAGAAAGAATCATTACTAGTCTGAGCAATTCTACCCACCATTCCACTTAATTCTGCCCAATGAGCACGTGTCCTGGGATGAATATATTGGGAAGACGTGAATCTGATCTCCTTCCAGTTGGTCTCAGTTCCCAAACAGAGTCAACTCTAGTGTTTAGAGATTTGTGTTTTTCATGTAATGTGGCCCCCGGTGCCTAGCAACTCTCTCCCCTATGGTTCATTTGGACTCCATCTGATTTTCACCATAACACCAAAATTGAACACACTGCACCTTTCAGTGAGCGCCTGGTTTGTGCAGACACTGCTTGCATTTATTTTGTTTTGACAAGAACAAGAAGCAGGTAGAGCAGAGTTAAGGTTGTTTTTTTTTTTGGCGGGGAAGGGGGAGGGAGATAGACTTATTTGTCAGAACCAGGGCCCCCTCTCTCCAGAACCCAGTTGTTTTTATATCCTCTGAATGAATTTCCCAGAAAAACAGTTTGAGATCTAAATGACCAGAATGGTTAGGATGGTTTCTTCTTCCCAGCTCAACAAATTAGTGCTAATTTTGGAAATCTTCTTGGTTTATTGCCATAACCATAGAGCATATGACACACTGGGGAGGTTGGGAGCGGCTCCCTCCACTAGCTTGCCATTGGCTGGCCCGTGGCCCCACAGGTGCTCCTGCCCTTGGGGGTGTCCACTCCGCACTTCTGTGATAAGACTTTTCAGAGTGCTGCTTTGTCTCACCCCATTGCTGCCTATCTGGGAATGTTGAAACTCCATCAAAGAACTCCTTTTTCCCTTCCCTGTGCCAGAAAATGCCTTTGTTTTCCTTGCAGAGATCCATCTCCAGAGACATTTTTCATACCCTTGGGAAGGGCTCAAAAGACAGTACTATTCCTTTTTTTTGTTTCAAGTGAATATAAAATTATGACGCAGATCTTTTAAGCCGAAGTAGATGATCATGAACATTTGGGTCGCCATACCTACTCCACAGATTGCCCTGCGGACCTCTGGGAGCTCATCATGAATGCGATGCTCCATTGCTGGGCTCAGAATCACCTTAGGGGTCTCCAGGACTTAGTGGCCCTGTGGCGTGCTGGCCTTCCCTAGGACAGCATGTGGGTGGTGGCAGGTAGAGTGAGGAACTGGGGAGTGGTTCAGAACAACTTGGGCTTGGCGGAACAAGTGAGAATTTGTCTTACCAGCTCCAAGCAACCATGTGCCATGAGGTCACCAAGGCAGTATTTAGATGCCCCAGAATCTTAGAACTGTGGATATCTTAAAACACATGCTGCACTTAGAACAGTGTAGCCTTGCTGTTTTATGTGAAGTTTGTGCTAAAGGATGGCCTAATATGAATCTTATTTGGCATGAATTTGAGCCATGGAGGCAGCATTTCTAATGCCTTACTTGACATACCATTTGGACAGAACAAAACCTAAAGGAAACACTTAATAGTTCTATCACTTTGAATGAATACTCAGACATAGCTTCTGAAAAACAAAATTAGTCCTGTTTTCTGTAATAGAAGATCCTCTTTAATGCAGCATAATTTGAGAGCTAAAATGCTTGATTTAGTAATAAACTTTTAAGGTAATTTGTAATATATGAATTGAGAAACAAGTTCATAAATGCATTTCTTAATGAAATATTTCTGCAAGTGCCTAACATAATGTTTAGGACACAGTATGCTGTTAGTCAATACTAGTTTCTTTTCGGTTTTCTTCATTTAGAGGGCCTATTTTTTCACGTAGTTTAGAATCTGGCTTGTGCATAGCGCTAGGCAAAATCTCATCAGCCTTTTTAAAAATCAGTCATTTAGCTCCATTTTAGTTTTCTATTCTATCTACCAAGTAAAAGCTGTTTATGGCATTTTGTGCCATATAAAATGGGCCCAAAGCCAAGAGAAAGAATTCTCTGGTATTGCTTCACATTGCCAAATTAATTAGTCCTATTGATGACTCCAGAGCTTGTTTTACCAAATAATTTCAAAAATAACTTTATCTAAAATTCTTACTTGAGTTCAGATATGACCTGAGACCTGGCCTGGCCTAGTCTCAGAAAGTGGGTCTAAAAACCTAAAAGATTTCTCTCCATTTGCTTTAAATTCTTCTGAGGATATTTGTATCCGCTGTTTCTTTTTCAGGAATGTGGCTTATTCACTAAGGTCTTATCAAACCTCTTTAAAATCCAAATTTTGCAAGAATGAAATGAACCTTCGGTGTCCTGAATTCTGTTCTTGTGTATTTCTGATTTGATTTTTTTTTCCTTGACCCCTGAGACACCCGTGGGTCCAGCCTCCCACTGTGACTGTTGTCACTGAAGCCATAGCCTTTCTGTGTTCATTACTGTCACATTCTTAACATCTTCACCTAAAACCCCGAGGCCTCGTAGTTTGGCTCGGTCTTCAGCCGTCTGTCCACTCACCTGTTTGGTTGGCTGTCGGGCCCACAGCTCGCAGAGGGCGCACAGCTGGACGAGGGAGCTCTCGTCTAATCACCCTGCGACTTCCTGCGTGTGGAGAGTTGCCCTGATGTCACGGGGCACGGGCCGTCGTGATTTGCGCATGGGAGAAGAATCTAGCCGCGGTTGCCCAGCTGTCTTGTTCCTCCTTCATGGGTGTCAGCAATGCCTGTTGGGCCCCGGTGCCCCCGTGTCCAGGATGATCACCTGGTCATTCCGACCTCCTCTCTGTTTATCAGGCGATGTGTCTGTCCTCCGTTCTTCCTGCTGCCTTTCCCCCTCCCATACCTCAGCCCTTAGCGCCCAGGGGAAAGCTTCCCCATGAGACCAAGCCCAGACATTAGAGGCCACCCTGGCAATGGGCCCAAAGGGCACGAGGAGTGGTATCTCCGCTGCAGAGGTCTGAGTGAGGAATGCCTTCAGGAGGAGATGGAGCTCGTGGGAGGGGAAAAGCGTGAGTGGAAGACCTACCATCCTCCGGGTCTCAGACTGGTGGGCCGCAGACTCCCTTTGTCCCACAGATATGTTTTGTCTTCCTTACATAGTTTTTTTTTTTTTACTCAGGTGCCAATGCTTCACAATCAGGGAATTTCACATGAAACCTAGATTTTCAACTTCTTTTTTTAAAAAATAAGATATTTGGAGAAAGATGTCCAGTGACTGTTACAGGTTTGGGGCCGTAAGCAATTGGAAAGATGGGGGCAAGCAGGTTTGTGGAGGCAGGGTTTGACCAGAGATGGATTGAATGTATCCGGTTTGGGATGCATTAAGCTTGAGGTGCCTGTGAAGCATCCTAGGGAAAATGGGGACTAGGGAAGTTGCTGTAAGAGTGGGGAGTTGAGGAGAGAGGTCCGGGT